CGATCAGAGCGGACATTTCAAAAAACGCCGAAGCCCAACGAAAAAGTACCGGAGCCCGGAAGTGACCAGTCAGTCGAGTTCCGACTCCGGATCAGACACTAGTCAGGACGAGTGGCTCACAACCGATTCAAACTTAAGGAAGGAGAAAAAGAAGGTAAACATCCGAATTAAAGAAAAACCGGCGGGAGCATTCATGATTAAGCATGTTGCAAAGGAAGAGCATCTGACCCCAATTCAGGTGGCTGTTACCTTCAAAATAAAACTAATGAAAATTGTGAGTTTCTGTTCACAGGACCGGATCATCGGACACCCCCGTAACCTGTACACCCCGGTGACAAGCGTCCCGCCCGAGCCTGCGAGTTCCACGCTGACCGAATCCAGAAAACAACAAAACAGCCTCCGCAAGAGGGGGCCGCGATGCCTTTGCGTTATCTTAATTTTGCAGCTTGTCACTATAGGACAGGTAGAGTCACACCAGCCCTTTAAATGGGGTACTTGAACAGATCGAACAATCTCAAGCAATTAGTACAAAAATAACTATAGGGCCACCAGTTTTCAGTGCCATGCCTTGCCAACTAGCATCCATTGAACCCTGTTCCAAACGCAGCCGGTACAAAAATTTGTTCACCGGTTCGCCGTGGTTAACCACCCTGATATCCACCTTGATAGGGCCGATCACAATGATCATGATGACGCTAATCTTTGGACCCTGTATATTGAATAAGCTCATGCCGTTTGTCAAGAATCAGCTAGAGAAGGTTAACATCATGTTAGTAGAACACCAACAACTGCTTTAAGAATATATCCACTTAGTATTACCCCCAAGTTATCCCAAGGTATACCCTATTCCTACACCCTGGTATTACCTGTCATCCCCTGCCTTCTACGCGCCTTCTTCTTTGTGCCTTATGTTTTATGTCAAGTTTATGATATGTAATTTTAAGATTGGTATAACTATAAGAATAGAATAAGATAGTAATAAGAATAAGATAGTTGTATTTTAGCTAGTTTTGTTATGCATAGGGAGGGGGGAAGTTGTTGCAGATAGTTAGGGAACGGCGGC